TACCTGCGGTCCTTGTTACTCCAGAGGCTGAAACGGGAGGCTCACTTGAGCCCAGGTGGTTGAGGCTGCAGTGAGCTGTAACTGCACCATGTGCCACTGCACTCCAGCCTGGACTACAGAGCGAGACCCTGTCTCAAAAAAAAAAAAAAGTGTCAAGGTTGAAAGGGAAGAAAAGACTGAGCAGTTGTCACATCAGAGGGACCCAAGGGAAAATGACACTAAAGGTATGAATAACATGGGATCCCAGATTGAATCCTTGACAGAAAAATGCTATTAGTAGGACAGTTGGTAAAATTAGAGAAAAGTCTGGATTTAGTTAACAGTTTTGCATCAATATCAATTTCCTGGTTTTCTTATACTACAGATTGGTTACGTTAGATGCTATCATTAGGGGAAGCTATCAGGGAAAGAATGTATGGGAAGTCTCTGTACTATTCATGCTCCCTTTAGATCTAAATCATCTAAAAGTATTTCAAAATCAAGTTAAAAACATAAATAAAGCAGCCCCACACTCCCTGCTTCATTCCCAGTCTCACCGTCTCTGTGTGCTTCATAGCACTTAGCACATATGCTGATCTTGGTTGGTTGATTGTTATCTGACTTCCCTGCAAGGCTGTAAACCCCATGGGGGCAGGGGTTGCCCCATCTTACTTACTGCAGTGTCTCCTGCACCTCAGTAATGGCTTGCACACAATTAGTGCTGCTTTAAAATGTGCTGAATAACGAATTGATTCATATTCCTGGCTGTGACCAGGAAAAATGAATGAGGAAGTCAGTGTTCTTATAAAGCCTTCAGACCGTGAGAAGGCAACAGTCAGGGACCTCCTCCTTCATGCCCAAAAGTGAAATTATGGAACCCTCAAAAATAGGATCTCTGTCACAGATTTTACAGATAGGGGAAATAAATTTACTGCCCAGAAACCTCACTCTACACATCAGTGGTTCCTCCCAGGGCCACCATGGAGAGGGGATTCCTGGCAGGATGTATCTCAGATGTTTGGGATCAGGACATTAGCCAGAGAGTATCCCCCACATCGACCCCCCCAGCCTATCTGAGTCCGACAGGGAGCCCTGGGATGAACTTCCCAACCCTAGAACTGGCAGCAGAATTTTACTGGGAAAATCCAAGAAATCACGTTGTGCAGACCTTGGCCTTTCCCATGAATTCCCTCCCTGGACCCTCAAATACCAGCAGCTGGTGGGAAGCAGCAAGAGTCATTTTGCGCTGTGTGTTCAGTACCTGTCTAGAGGCCTCCCGCGTTTTTGGCTGGTTTCAGCATGGTTTTTATGCTCATTTCCGACAGAGGTGGTTCACTGTAGTGGAAGGCACCTAGCCAGGAGTCAGGGTTCCATTTCCACATGTGGGAACATGGGAGGAGATTGTATTTGGTGCTTTCTGTCTGAGCCAGAACTGGCGGACGGTCCCAGTGGCACTGCTGAGGTGCTGCCGCTCAGCCGGGCAACTTTGGGAGATTCCGACCTCGGTTCTATGGGAAGGTGGGGGCTGGGGCTGCACCGACAAGGAAATGCTCCCGAATGGTGTGGGAGAAGCATTTGCTGGACGGTAACCAAGCACTGGCTATAGTCAACAAACCTGGCTCTTCACAGTCTTCATTTGACCCTGTTTCAAAGTGCTGTTTTGCAGGCGTGGACACCGAGCCCAGAAGGTTTAAGAAGTACCTTGACAAAGGTGAGGCAGGTGAAAGGAGATAGATAACTGATAGATTTCCATGGTATATTTTCTCTCATTCCACACTTTTTTTTTTTTTTTTTTTTGAAACAGCATCTTGCTCTGTCGCCAGGTGCCAGGCTGGAGTGCAGTGGCACAATTTCGGCTCACTGCAATCTCCGCCTCCTGGGTTCAAGCAATTCTCCTGCCTCAGCCTCCCAAGTAGCTGGGACTACAGGCACACGCCACCACGCCCAGCTTTTTTTTTTTTTTTTTTTTTTTTTTTGGAGTAGAGACGGGGTTTCACCATGTTGGCCAGGATGGTCTCGATCTCTTAACTTTGTGATCCACTGACCTCAGCCTCCCAAAGTGCTGGGATTACAGATGTGAGCCACCGCGCCCAGCCCATTTCACACTTTTATTTAGGAAAAAAACAAAACTGAATGTCTCCTTTTCCCCATCATGGCCACTGAGTTTCAGACGTGGCCTCCTGATGTTCCTGGCTGGATGTTGTCACTTTGATGCTTTAAATTGGGAAAGCAGCCATTAGCCTCCAGAGGCATGGCCACCACTTCTATCCCATGGCCCCTACCCTTCCACAGCCCTGGCAGGGAAGGACAGAATCCCCACTCTGCAGATGAGGAGACTGAGGTGACACAGGTCACCCACAGGGTCAGGGCTGGGACCAGGAGCCCAGCTACTGGTCAGAGAATCTACCTTATTCAATGCTGTCTTAGAGGCTAAAGCAGGGGCCGTCTGCCCACAAACCTTCATAGGGGTAAATCTGGGCCCCAGCAAATGCTCTTCCTCAGCCCCAGCTTTTGAGAAATAACTTTCCTGGTCCAAAGGCACAACCACTGGACAGCTGCAGACCCACATGGCTCCAGCGAAGAAAGGGCACTCCCTTTGCCCCATCACAGTAATGCCAACAGCAGTGCCACGCCCCAGGAAGTTTTATCTGTTTCTGATAAAAATCATTATTTTCCTAAAAATTTCCCAACCTCCAGGCTTGCCTGGAACAGCCAGGGGAGGCAGTTTCCTGTGCTGGAATTCCTGGGTAGTTTAGCGATTTCACAAGCCCACCGCAAGGAGGTTTGGAACTGGGGTCAGTTCAACTAAGACTCTTGAGCCAGCCTGGGAAGACCCCCAGGTCAGGCAGGGAGGGAGGCTGCAGAGCACGGGTGTCCCCCCAGAGCTGATGGGTTTGTGGGCTGTTCCCTCAGTCCTTGGATCCCACATGAAGTCAGCATGTAGCCTGCTGACAGGGATACCAGTGAGCCCCAGGAGCCACCCAGCAGCCCTGCTGTGCCCTGGGACAGACGCGGTTAGCCATGCTTTGAGAGAGGACAGGAGAAGGTGTGACTGAGCTGTTCCGTCACTGTGTCATGCCCTGTGACAGCCAACAGCACGAACTGATTTCATCTTGAAATCCCTCCCCAGCTGCACCTCCCGTCCCGGCAGTGGGCAGCCTCTGGATGGCCCATGTCCCCTGAGATGCCATCGGTCATGTCCCTGTCTACAGGTTTCCCTGCAGAGCCGGGGCCCTTTTCTGATTCCTGCACAACCGTGTAACAGACGGGGGTCTGTAGTTCCTGAACCCACTAAAACTGTCATCCAAGTCCTGCTGTGTAAGTGTGTTAGGGAAGAGAGCACGAGTGTGTAGATATTCATGCTAGGAGGTCCAGAATTCTGCCATCAGCAATGATTGCCTACAGGGCAGAAACCCAGACGTCACCTGCATCACAGCAACTGAGCAGCTCGGCTCTCAGGCACCCTCGGGTGCTGTGGGACGAGGCAGGTTCATTCCCGCTCCACCCTGGGCTAGGATGAGCGCCTACACACGTCTGGCCCCATCCCCCGCCCCGCACAGCTGTTTGCCTGCCCATGGCTGGACCAGGTCCCCACCGCGAGGACAGGAAGTGCTCCCACATCCGCTGCAGCCCGCACAGCCTGGTGCTTTTACAAACCTGACTGTGGTCACTGAGCCCAGTAACCAGAGAGAATGTTTAAAAAGACTCACAAACATATCATTGAAATCTCAGTGTTGGGCACTGGGCGGCTCCCACCCCTGCCTTCTGGAAACACAGATTTCTGGAGTTTAAAAGAGACGGGAGGCTAAAGTGAGACTGCCCTAAATGTAGCGTCCCGGGCATTTCCGGGCACCTGGGGCAATGTGGGCTTCATTCCTTTGTTTGACTGGCAGGTCAGCCCCCGCCACAGGGCCCTGCCGCCCATCTCGCCTCCAGCCTGGCCTCTACCCTCGCCTCCGCAGTGTCTTCTTATTCCCCTCCACCCACGCCGCCCCCTGCTGCCCCCAATCCCTGTGCTCCCCACTGGCCAGAGGCACAGCCCAGGCTCCTGGCCGGGGATTCGCACCCTCAGCAGGCAGGCCGCAGCCGAGCTCACGCGCAGTCCCCAACGTTGCTGACCTGTGGGCGCCTCCACCCCTGTGCATGCGAGGTCCCCTCTCCCTAGAGCGCCCCCTCTGCCACCTCTCCACCTACCAGGACCCCATCCCACCCTTTAAGGCCAGTTCAGATGCCACCTGCTCACATCCCACCACCCAGTGGGACCCTCGACCTCCCTAGCACCTGACGGGGCCACTCCGGGAGTTGTCACTCCTGCCCTGATTTTTCTTGTTCCTTTCCACATTTCCCTCCTTCTTCCTGCACCTTGTTCCAGAAAGGAAACGTGGGTCCCCTGCCCTCTGCTGTCTTCTGGTGCTTGCCCTGCCCTCAGGCCCCTCCGCTCTGACCCTCTGCCCTGGCTGGCCGGCCCCTGCAGGGCCCATCTCCCTGACACCGTGGCAGATTCACACTCGGGCCTCAGCCCAGCTCAGCTGTCAGCCCTGAGCCCTCCCGGCTGCACCTCTCATCCCAGCAGTGGGCAGCCTCTGGATGGCCCGTGTCCCCTGACATGCCATCGGTTGTGTCCTTGACTACCAGGTTTCCCCGCAGGTTCAGGGCTTTTTTCTGCCTTGGGTCCAATGTCCATCTTCTCTTTAGCTGGAAGCTCCCTCCTCTGTCTCATCTGTGGGTCCCAGCACCAGCCAGGGCCGAGAAGGGGCGCAATGGGAGTTTGAGGTGTGGAGCCTGGGGCCTGTTGAGCACAGCCAGGTGCAGGGCTCAGGGTGTGCCTGGCTGCAACAGCCCCTCAGCCCTGCCCACGCCACGGGGCCAAGCCTGGAACACACATTTGAAGAGGACGAAGCCAGCCCCACCCAGGCCTCCTGGGTCCCCCTGCACCTTGAGCGGTGGGCAGCTGGGGACAGCGGCCCACTCCAGAGCCTGAGCCATTCCAAGTGCCAGCCCAGCTCTGTTTTGTCTTCTAGTGGAGCGAGACCGTGCCCTGGGCCACCAGGAGCCCCACTGGAAGGAGTTCCACTTTGACCTGACCCAGATCCCGGCTGGGGAGGCGGTAACAGCCGCGGAGTTCCGGATTTACAAGGTGCCCAGCACCCACCTGCTCAACAGCACCCTCCATGTCAGCATGTTCCAGGTGGTCCAGGAGCAGTTCAACAGGTGCCTTCCCCTTGGCCTGGGTGCTCCCCACCCAACCCGCCTCATAGTCTCATGGTCAAGGCAGCCCAGCAGGGAGTGGGGGTGAGTGGAGCCTTTCCCAGAGGACCCAAAAGAGAGCCTCAAAGACAGGGAGGTGCTTGGCCCAGGGCCCCTGCACTGTGGGAAGAGCCCCAGTGTTGGAAATAGATGCTCAGTGCCACAAAGAAAAATTAGCACTGAGACAAAGGATATTTCAGCAACACAATTTTTCCTTCCTGGCCTGCAGGAAGGGCACTCTCACTGGCCATCTTGCCGTGAGAGTGCAGTGAACAATGGAAAACATGCAAATGTATCCCTTATGCATTTGGGGTCGTCCTTACTGCTGTGTCTAATCTGTTGGCTGGAGCCTGACCTCACAATCTAAACTTAACAGTTATTAGCACACTTTAACAAGAAAGGAAACTTTAAAAAGGAAATTTTCTACTTCCCACACTCAGTGACAGTCCTGCCTCAGATCCCTGTCCTGCCATCCTGGCTGTGGGGACTTGGACAGGTCACTGAGCCTCAGTTTCCCCATGTGTACACCTCTGCTGAGGCAGTGAGATGAGGCTCAGAAGGGGCACAGACCAGAGCCAGGTGGGAGACGCTCCTGTGACAGCCCTCAGGCGGGCCCTGCAGACACGGAGGCAGCTGTGCCGGCCGCCAGTTAATTGTTCTTTCGTGTCCACAGGGAATCTGACTTGTTCTTTTTGGATCTTCAGACGCTTGGAGCTGGGGATGAGGGCTGGCTGGCGCTGGACATCACAGCAGCCAGTGACCACTGGTTGCTGAAGCGTCACAAGGACCTGGGACTCCGCCTCTATGTGGAGACTGAGGATGGTGAGGCTGGGGGCTCTGCGGGAGCAGCTCCTGGGGCTCCTGTGTGCCAACACAGGCAGTGGTAGTGACCTCCTGTGGCCATGGGTGCCCGGCCTCACCAGCTATGCCTGCTGCGAAGGTCAATGAGGTTCAGGGCTCGAGGTCTGGCCTGGCGGGGGTGCTCCCTCCTCTCCTTCTGCTTCCCAGGAAGTGGGTGGTTCTTCCCACGGAGCAGCCTCCACCTTGGGAGTTTCTGTCCTGGGAAGGAAAGGAGGGGAAGTGGCTGTATCCTCAGGTGCTGAGGCCAGGAGGCTGGGTTTGAAGCCCAGCCCAACGGTGCCCTGCCTCAGTGACCTTGGCCAGGACTTACCTTTCCAGACCCTGTCTTCTCTTCTACAGGATGGGGATTCATGCCCTTGTTCACTCCACAGGTGATACTGGGGAGAGCCTCCTTTATACCAGGCAGTGGGAATATGAAGGCCAAAGTGGGCATGAGATGGGCGTGTTTGAGGTGCGGCAAGGGGAAGCACACGGCAAGGGGCCGCCATAGAGCAGCGGCGAGGACGGGTTTCCAGAGGCCATTCCGAGTCAGTGTAAAGCAGGGCCAGGGGCTGGGGTTCTTAGCGTGATAGCAGTGGAAGACAACAGGACCTGATTCAGGTTTTTGTTTTGTTTTGAGATGGAGTCTCACTCTGTCACCAGTCTGGAGTGCAGTGGCACAATCTCAGCTCACTGCAACCTCTTTCCCGGGTTCAAGCAATTCTCCTGCCTCAGCCTCCTGAGAAGCTGGGACTATGAGTGCGCGCTATCAAGCCCAACTAATTTTTGTATTTTTAGTAGAGATAGGGTTTCACCATATTGGCCAGGATGGTCTCGATCTCGACCTGGTGATTCGCCCACCTCAGCCTCCTAAAGTGTTGGCATTACTTGCCCAGCCTGATTCAGGTTTTAAAAGAGAATCCTCTGAGATGCCCCCTCTCTCAGGATGGAGCCGAGCTCCCCACCCCTTCCGTGGGCTGCGCTCAGTGACTTGTTTCTTGTCCTAAGTGCGGCGTGGACAGGGCGTGGGGGACATGATGCGCAGCGCCTCAGCCAGGTGAGGAAGGCTCACTGCAGTGACCAGCACGGCACTAGCATGTACCCTGGGTATAAGGCAAGGAGAAGGCCCCTTCCCTGAACCCGAAACCCCAGTCCAGCCACGAGCAAACCATCAAGCCCGAAGAGAAGGGCTTTTGCAGAATACCCGACAAGCGCTTCTCAAAACCACCAAGCTCATCAAAAAAAGGGAAGGTCGGAAAATTGGAGGAGCCCAGAGGCACCTAAGGAGACCTGCTTAGTGCATGTGGGGTCCTGGGTGGGGTCCTGGACCAGGGAAAGGGCCTTAGGGAAACGTTATGAAATCCAGATCAATCACAGTATTTACTTAATAAGATATCAGTATTGGTTGTTAGTTATGTGAAAGGTACCCCACTAGTGTAAAATATTAACATTTCCCAGGGCAGCTGGGTCCAGGTGTATGGGAACTCCCTGTGCTGTTGTTTTCTTCTTTGAGACAGGGTGTGGCTCTGTTGCTCAGGCTGGAGTGCCGTGGCACGATCACAGCTCACTGTAACCTCCAACCCCTGGGCTCGAGCGATCCTCCCACCTCAGCCTCTATACTATCTTTGCAAATTTTTATGTAATATCAACTGTTGTAAAATTAAAACTTTACTGAATATATGCATAAAATAAAGAACCCCCTACTTCAGTGGGGAAGAGTAGACTGAGCTGGATGAGAGTGAAGTCAGAGAGGCCCGTGGGGGCCCCACAGTGGTCCAGGTGGGCGCTGCGAGCGGCTTGTGGTAGCAGTGGAGGTGGAGGAAGGTGGGTTGATTTCAGCGTCAGGACGTGGTTATAGCTGGCAAGGAGGTGAAGGAAAGGGAGGAAGCCTGAATGATGCGTGGATGGAACCAGTGCATTGTTTCTAATAGATTTTTCTTTTTGGCCTGCACTGGGGAAAGATAGATGAAGGGCAGGTTTGAGGTGGGTGGTCAAGGGTCTCTTTTGGCTGGAATATTATTGTGCCCCCTGGGATGTTACTGAGATCCCTGGTCCTCATGGAAATGCCACTCCAGGGAGAAGTGAGCGTGAAGACCCAGGTGTGGGAAGTGCTGGCATGTAAGTGGATTTAAAGCATGGGGCGGGACCAGGTCCCCTAGGGAAGGAAGGCCGTGATGGAGAAGAGAGGGGGCCTGGCCCAGAGCCCTGGGACCTCCACCACCCAGAGAGCTCTCAAGGAGGGGCCACAGTGAGCCCAGAGGGACCAGCCAGGGAGGGAGCAGAACGCCTGGAGGGTGAGGTGACCTAGACGCCAGATTAAAGTGTTTCCAGAAGCAAGGGTTTGTCATTTGTGTCCTGCCGTGGGCACTGAAGGCAAGGACAGAAGTGACCGAGGGTCTTGCCACACAGAGGTTGAGGACCCAAATCTCCGGGGAGTGTGGGTCTGACTGGGAGGTGGAGGGAGACAGGCAGTGGGGGCAGGAGACCGTGCTTTCCAGAACCTTTGCTGGGGAAGGGGAGCAGAGACAGGGGCTGGGGCTGGAGAGAACCAGGGACAAGGCAGGCCCTTTACAGGTGGGGAGACGCCTGCTCACTGCTGTGGCGATGGAGTGATTCTGAGCAGAGGGAAGAAAACTGCAAAATTCTGCACAAGTTGGATCTAGGAGCTGGAGCTGGGAGCTGGAGTGGGGCAGGTGGAGGGGGGAGCTGGAGGGGGGAGCT